TCATCCAAGGCCACATTAGGTGAATGCGAGTTTTGCCACAATCAGATGAGTTAGCATCATATAATTTTAGTTATAAGTATATTTCTACACTACCGGCAAATCATATATTATATATATATATATTATTTATTTATTTAGTTATTTATATCGCTCCCATTTAATTGCACTTAGCCTGGCTTCTAAAAGGCATTTTCATCCATTTTCGAATCCGCCTGGGAAGCATCAGATTCATCAAAGGAACTCGAATCCGGGTGGTGTATCGTTTATTTTCGACATGGAACTACTAGGTCGCACTGTTATTTGTGTCACTAGGTGTATGAAGAGACAAGAATTTCAAGGCTAAGCCTTTTCCCATATTACAGTTACCGTGGTAGTGTTGATGAAGCAAAGTTGTATTTTGCCGTTACATTCGAAAACATTACTTATATTTAGTAGTCGTTTCGCGATTATTCAAGACCTACTGATAGTCTTAAGACTATTATATATGAATATAAATGGGCTGAAAAGTGTTATTATGAATATTTAAATATATTTAGCATTTAGTATATATTTTCATGACGTATTTGATAAATATTAAATATATCTCATTATTTATTTAAATATATGAAATTAAATACTCGCACACACTGATGTATGTACTTTCATGTGAAAATTTTCATACTACGTAAATAGCCGTTTAAAAGGAAAAAAAAATTATTATAGTATTACCATATTTTTTAACTAAAGGGCACGGCAGAAAATGTAAATGCCTAAGTTCCGATCCAATGAGAGGAAAGGGAGCAAATAGAGGGACTTTTTCAATCTCTGCGTGCACGTAGCACATATGCAGCTGCGAAGTCAAGACTCAGGCTGGCGGTGACTGCTAAACATGCTTTGAGTGAGACTTGATGTCCGCCTCGATCGGCCAGACGCCAACATGTGTAGGTGGCGACGGCAAGAGACTGAAGGACACTCATTTCACCTACTCTCATAGGTCCTCAATTCAGCCATATGATACAGCCGAGTGCAGCAAAAGACGCAAACTCTGTTGCTGCGGGTAGCAGAAGAGCGCCGTTCGTCTTTAGGCCAGGACGAGGGTCATCTGGCGTTTGAGTCGGTCCACCCGCCCGCGTAGTCATGACTACTCTTTCGGGCGGGTGTCGTTTGGAGAAGGCAAAAAGACGAAAAAGGACGAGAAAAAGGAGGACGATGCGAAGGCTGCCGTGGCAACCTGCTCGTCTGGCAACCTGTCCTCCGGACGCCTGTAATCAGGGCAACAGGGCCATCGGCTCAGCGGTGCACACAACGCCCGTTCTCAGTCGGCGCGATGGCAACCAGGCCGGTCTAATGGAGAGGCTGGAGGGAGGCAGCAAGACTGACGAGGCAGCAAGACTGACGAGGCAGCAAGCGCCAGGTTTGAGCATGTCTCTGGGGGCCTTGGTCTCTTGCCTACGCCCGTCTGCCAGTACAACGTGACACGCGAGAGTGTGTGGAGCTCATCTGCCCGTTTGAGTAGTCGACACGACGACAGACGAGTGCAAGATCGGACGTCTCGACGCATGCGCCACCAGGAACTCACCGAGCCCCGTTAGACGCCCGACGCAACCTCGAGTCTTCCACACTCCGTCCGGAATTATTTGCCCCAGCGACTGGCTGAACAGACTCGGTTCCGCGACTGCGGACGATGCTGCAACGGTAGCCACGGCACTGCAGACGGAAGATTCAGCTGCCCCAGACACCAGCACAACATGGCCTCGATCAAGCCTGACTGGCACGAAGCCGAAAATCCCGCCACCACCACCACCACTTCCACCGTCGTCGACGGTGATTCGGTCTCGGAGTTGGGAAACCTTCGCTGGCGCCGCCTGGAATCTTGTAGCCCGTCCGACGAGCTCGGTCCGCAGGGACTCAACTCGTCGGCCGCCATCAGGCCGACCGAAACTAGGGCCCAACTGGCTTGGCTGGGCGTCGAGGGACTCGAACCACCGACCGGTCTACTGCCGCCCCTCTCCACCATCTCCTTTGCTCAACTAACTAACACGGAGGCGAGAGGCGGCAGATCACATGCTCTTAGAGACCTGACCGATCTCATGCTTGACCCTCGAATCCACACTCAAGACGATGCTCGAGGCAGAAATCAGCCGGCAAATGATCTATTCAACTCTCAAAATAATTTCACTCACCAAAACGGCACCATAACAACCGTCAATGAAATGAGCCTACCCCTCAATCTTCTGACAGAACAAATAGAACACGAATACACACGACAGCATCACAATTATGCTAAAGAAAAGAGAAACATTG